CCCCAATCTCGTAATCAAGTACGAATTGTGGCCTGCAGTGCTTATAGGGACGTACAAAATGCAGCTGTATAATAATTACCACTTCATATTAACAGCCTATTAGCATTACCTTGCAGGAGACACCTTCACAATGAGGTTAGCTGACTACCGAGTCGTCTACTCGTCTCCCACAAATATATTTTTGTCATTTTTGGTATTGTTCTATTATTTTTATTAAGTTTTTATTTTTATTCGTTTTTACTTTTACATATTATTCAAACGATAAACCTCACATCGAACTCCAAGTAACACATCAACAAAGTTATACATGTCATGATGGCTAGTGTATAGCACCATATACATTTAGTTTCGAGTGAAAACTTTCACAACTGTTAGTGGTACGGTTGTAGCTAACATTAAACTATGGATACCCCCATATACTAGGCACACGTGGTCACATGGAATCAGGTAAATAATTACTATCGCGTCGAAATTCACTTACAGCYAAAATGTTATCGGGCCGTTGTCATGAACAACACGTCGGTCGCAATTCACCCACAGTYAAATTTTAAACTTAACTTGAATAATTATTGTACGAAAGTAATGTTATATCTGTTTTTAAATTTTGRGATAAATTTAACATATTATATATTTTTTAATTTTACAGYGTATTTTTTAAATTTTAAATTGCTTGATTACTATTTTATACTTAAATACATATATATTATAAACTAAATTGAATACAAGTTGAAAAAAATAAAAAATAAACTGATCAATATATTTTTATGAGGTATTTTTGACTATTAAATTACTAACTTCTGAAGWAGTGTCACTAAACGTTCCCTTCATTCACGCGACCAAGTATTTTATTTCTTTTGACTCCAAATTTGTTCGTTTTTATTGTGTATATAATACTGCTGGTTGTAAATATTTTCTACTTAAAAAAATAAATTATGAATACAAAAGGAAAATTAACTTGCTAAATCGATATTTTTCATTAAACATAATATATTTATATTAATAAAAAGAATAATGTTTTGATTTTCTCTGATACACTGCTACGTTTATCCCTAATAAATTCAATTGAAAAATATAGGTTAGCCAGAACTAATACTAAAAGTTATTTGATTTTATTTCTCTGGAAAAATCACATTAATTGTTTGTGGTGATATCATGATATCATAATAATTGTACTCCTTGTTTTAGATAGATAATTTATCTGTGTTTGCGATTTATAAATCTGTGATATTTAAATGAAATATTTTCGTCTTTTTTTAAATATGTATTCTATAAATATACCTTCTATACCTATATAACTATGAGTGCCTTTTTGATACAAAATATTAATGTAATTAGTGATATATCTACAGTTTATGATTTCCATATTATTATATTTTTAATTTTCATAATATGATGATCATAACTTAGAAGTATCTGCCTTTTTTATCTGTCCGTTAATAGTWCAATGTTTTAACAATATTATTGATAACAAATTATTAATGAGTAGAAAAAAAATTTTTTTAATAGTTCGTGTAATTTAAATCAAACGTAAAAATTGATATAGTCRTTTAGATATTATAATTAGGCCTTAATCTTAAACTGAATTCAAAATTAAAATTATCCTTAGAACTACTATTAATTACAATCAATAACTCCTAGTACAATATTTTCTGGTTCTACAATTTCAGTCATTAGTTCAATCGATTGTTGTAATAAAATTAAATATGATTCATTCAAATCAGTCTCATTATGATATAAAACCATGCAAACAGTATCAATTTCCACGTGATCGCCTTTTTTTACTAGTAAGCGAACACCGACTGCTGGATCGATCGCTTGATTAGAAAATTGTCTTCCGGCACCCAATTTGTTACAAACTTTAGCAATAGTCATACCATCTATGTCATTCACGTAACCTATAATAATAATATATAATTTTTACATTGAACAATATGCCAATAACCTTAGTTGTTGCGACTTTAATAAAAAWAAATAAATAAATAAAAAAATAATATATAATATAAAGTAGGTAAATAAGTAATGTTATAATATGAAACTGGAAAATTTTTTTGTACTACAAATTTTGTATACWAATTGTTACTCTCGTCGTACCTATATACCAATACATAATAAAAAACACCAATGTATCTACCTGAAGTAGAAGACTTGATTTCTATCACAAATTTAGCCATTGGTAAAACGGAAGTTGTATTACCATAGCATAACTCATCTGCTATCTGTTCATCGACTCTCAATTCGATTAACATTTGCTTAAACTTTTCCAAAGCTGTTCCATTATTTAACGACTGAGCCATCCGCTTACGACCTTCATTCACCGACCTTACTTTRTGAGTCATTTCTAATAGATGTCCGCCTATTCAATTTAGTAGCGTGTAATTATAACAATTATTTAATTTATTAGCATTGATCAAATAAAATATATAAATACCGATTAGCTCAATGAGAGTTTGTAAGTCACTTGGTCCTTTTCCTTTTAAACAATTTATGGATTCTAATATTTCCAAAGAATTTCCAACATAATTACCAATCGGTGCTGACATTCTAGTCATCAACGCTCTACATTCAATACCCATCAGTTTAGCCACTAAAACCTAAAATATTACATAAACTAGGTACGTTATATTATAATGTAAATGTACGACGTTTATAGAATTGGGATATTTTGGGTGTGCAATAATGTCAACAATTATTCTCCTAATTAGCATAGGTATAGTGCCTACCTTTACAAGTAGATGAGATAAAGATGAATTTAATACTATGGTGATAATATGCATGTTAATATTTATTTATCTTTCAAATAACAATAATATATCATTAGATCTTTTAAATTTCTATAAACAGGATCGGGAGCTCAATATGTGTCGCCTTTGTTCTCCACACATCCAATATGCCTATTGTAATATATCTATATTRTGTAKTTATAAATTTCAAACATAGCGATCGATATAAATATAGAATAATGCAATTAGGTATCTGAAAACAGATTCCTGCTCAAAGAATAATGCGATGGTACTAACTACTGATAAGTAGTAATAACTCCTTTGATAAATAAACGATGAGTGTAAAATTATAAAAATGATTGGTTTATAAAGTGTGAATTTTAGTACTTTAGAGTTAACCGTGGTGTATTAAGATAAAAAATATAGACAAATTGATACGAATATACGTCAGCGATTTAATGGCTTGAAACTTTTGAGTGCGTGACAACTGAAATTGCTACATAACGCGGTTCGCATACGTAACATAAGTGCATAGGTACCTATAGGGCTATATAGCTAGTTAGTTTTAGTCATCTACCTACTTGTAAGTATAAATAAATAATATTTTTCGTTCTAGTCGTAAACTACTGTATACTGTATATACCAGAGGTATTCAAACTTTTTCAGCACGCGGCTCCTTTGGGTGTTCACAATATTTTTACGGCTCCCAAATTATTATGAAAAAATTAAAACAAAACACGGATACAATATGGGAAATATGCTATATGGGTGATAATAACAGTGACTAGAAATAAGACTTCAAATGGTCGAATCGTAAGGTGTGTCGTTTTAATTTCCATAATGATTGCAAATAATATTTATAATAATTATACAAGACCTAGGTATGATATTGGTTTTCGGTGCTTTGACGCGTGGCTCCCTTGGCAAACTCTCGCGACGCACAGTTTGAATACTTCTGGTATATACATATACAATAATATGCAACTTAAACAGTAGAATTTGTGGTTGGGCAGAGTTTAATGTTGAATAATTTAGAAGTTGACCATATTTTGATTGAAACGATTTTTAATTTTCCGAAACCCTGTTATGTTTTAAAATGCAAAAAAATAATTAGTTTAACGAAAAATGAATTTCATATGGKCCATAGACCACTGATCAAAAGACTACCTAATTAATTAATGATGGTAAAATTGTTTCAATTGAACAAACTAAACCTATATAACATTTTTAAAAATATAATTACTAGACGTYTAAGTACACTTTTATATAATTTAAAATTAGTAAGTATTGCATATAACGAAATTATTAAACKAAATTTTAAAACTAAAAATAATTTATAGTAGCTATATTCGATTGACGTRTAAGTAGTTATGAGTAAAAATACCAAAATAACTTACAAATTGTTGTCCAAAGGTTTTAGCTTCATCGATTGAACGGAAAAAACTTGCTGATCCGACTTTTAAATCAAGTATTAAATATTTAATACCGGCAGCTGCTTTTTTAGATATTATAGACGCTAATAAAATTATGTAAAATAACGTTACTTATTCGAATATTTTTTACATCTATTAGGTGAGAGACTAAATTACCTATAATCAATCCAGCATTATCGACCGTAGCAGTGACATCTCGAGCTTTATAAAGAACAGAATCAGCAGGCGATAAATCGTCCGAGCCAACGATAAAACACCCGAAATTATTACCTATGTCCAACAGTTGTTGGTCGTCGAAACTAAACGCGGAAAATCCTAAAATAACGATGTAGTTATTACTTGTTGCCTGTTGGTGTTRTTGTGACGTGAATGATGACGTGCAGGTGTATATTAATTATTATTTAGGTATAGTAAACRGGTTTGTTTAAACATATTGATATACAATTCATCGTTATTGAAATATTGCGCTAACCAGGTATACTCTCGAGTTTGTCTAACGTGCCACCGGTAAACTCGAGTCCCCTGCCCGACACCATCGGTATGATGAAATCTTCTTGCACGGCACTCAGCGCAGGTACGAGAGGAATCGAAACTTTATCCCCGACGCCACCGGTGCTGTGTTTGTCCACGACAATTGCCGACGATCTAAATTTGAGTATTTTCCCCGAATTCGCCATAGCCGTGGTCATGTTACAGACCTCGGCATTGGTCAAATCGTTTAAATACAAGGCCATTAACATCGCTCCTGCGTGAATATAAACACCTATAGTTAATATTTTGAAATAACATAATATYGTCGTATTGTATGCCTAGGTAAAAATACTTATATAGCCACCTAGTCACGCTGATCATTGTGCAGGATATATAAAAAATCGTACTTATCTCTTGCATACTATACATATGTACCTAATAATATTTGAATAAATAATATTCATGTAATATGGTATAAGCCAGTGGGGTATTTAGGAATTTATCGTGGGTAGGGTTCAAAAAATTCAGATAAATCGCCCCTTCCCAATTACTCTATAGTCAGTAACTATAATATTTTATAAGACATTTTAACATTTTTGAGTTTTTAATTATTTCATATAATATAYATTTATATCATCAACTTTGTAACAATAATAAAACCATAATTAACTAACAAATTATATAAGCTGTTCCCTAGTAATATTAAACTAATAAAATGCTAACATWCTTATTGGTTAGTTAGTTATTCATGATTACAACAATTTAAAATTTATATTTAAAGTACTATAAAAAAAAAACCACGAGAACGTATATGAAAYGAATTGCTAACTATTTATTATAAATAAATTTAAATAATATTTTATTGTAATACAACATGATTACAAAACAAAATCTAATCGCCCGGATTTAGCGCCATTTCATCAACAATTGCATCCACGTTGATGGGTAATAGGTATGTTTCGATGAATAGATATATTAAATAAATAAAAGAAACCATACGTCATCGTTATTACTTATTATCTTAGACTTTCATTTAGTTAATTTTAATRACAGCAGAGWGTTTTTTTCTTTAATCAAGAACTTRGCATTTATCAACCATGTTCAGTATCAAATTGATAACAAAAAAATCACAATATTAATCATAAACTATGAGATTAATTGAAAATTTTAGTAACTGAAACTTCAAAAATTGTTTATAAAATCCCTCGTTTCGTATAAAAAAATTTGTTTTTCTTAATCATGTAAACACACAAAATTTAACATGTACGAGACACGAGTCAATGRGAGGGGTCCGGATCCCATGGACCCCCCCCCCCGTAAATACACCACTGGCATAAGCCCATTAATAGTTTGTATGGTATTTTTTTTAAATTTAAATTTTTTATTTCGTAACTGGACAAGGTCTTATGACAATCAAATATAATTACATTTGCAAAAATTSTAGTGCAACGTTTTGAACACCAAAATATTGGTGATTCGCCTTCACAAAAAGTGCTTTAGATGTTTGGTAGTGCCAAATTAGACAAGAAAAACGTGACACACAATTTAAGTTTATAGTCATAAATACACACAAACTGAATTTTACAAATAAGCATAATACCCAGAATTTRTGCTCCCTCAATAACTCCAAGTAGGTACCTATTTATTTACTTCTTAAGATATAATGTATACTCAACCAGTGTCCACGTCAACAACACCCTAAAGAACATTTTCGTGTCTTAAAAGACTGAAAACATAATTAAGAAATACAACGACTGGAGTATAAACAGACATTTATATTTCGTCCTTAAATATAAATGTATTTGTGTATTTACTTTTCAGACTTGACTAAATGGATTAACATTATTATTATCGATCCACCGAAAAGTACTTATTACACCTGRAGAGTTTCTAAAAATATTATGTCACAGAAGACAAGGAAAATATACATTATATATTGTAAAAAAAATTTAAAATTCATTTTTATTGTATTAAAATCAGGTCGTTATTATGGGATGAGTGGTGAGGGGGGTACTACTCTACAGACTACAGTTTATCTTAGAAATAATGAATGTGCATATCCCCCATTCCAATGAAATTTCTTGTCTACACCACTACTAGTATTAGTAAAAATAATAATGCGGTATGGTAAATTCAATTTCCTTATATAACAACGATGATGTAAAAGATTCTTTACTAAGAGCAAATCAAAGTAAGAAAAAGCTGAAAAATACCTACAAAGCTTATATTATTATACTTAAAAGATGTTTCGATGAGTCAGATCTCCAAATAATGTTTTTTGTTTTGGAATATAAAAAATATATATATATATTGTAATTCAAAAAAAAAAAAGAAAAAACTATTAAAAGATATTAACAATAAAAAGTAAAAGAAAATAACTTTTTTTCAAAAATGTTTTTGTTTGTAACAAACTAAAAATTATGTAAAAAAAAATATTTTCAAATAGGTACCTTAAATTTTTAAATAACGGGTATTCTTCGATATAATAATCAGCTTGTACACCTACACAATATAATATTTTCCCTACCTAATATTGTATAACCGCTCTTACCGATTTGACATTGGTCTATGCATCCGTCCACTGTACATTTTACGAAAAATTTGATCTCATCGTTGGTCAATTCGTTTTTTTGACATTTTTTTTTTATTATGGATATGATACTCATCGTACAATAATTATAATATTATGAACATCAGTCGATCGATATAGTTACGTTTATATGCAGTTCATCCCGCACAATGTATGCAGCAGATACTAATATTATGCACTATTAAAACTATATTATATACTAAATAATAAACTTTAGGTAAGTAGTAGGTACGCGTTTGTATTGAACTCGGTCACTATTGGTTCGAGTCGATAATATTTTATTCGATTTATGATAATAATATTATATTATTATATTATGATGTAAGGTATAGGCACGAACATGTTTCGCATGACACTACCTATATACTACGACCAACCGTAGTCATACATTTTTATAAAATGTTATAACTGCAGTATAGTGTCTTATCTATATCGGTATAGACCGATGTATACCCATAACATGTTCTTTTAATTATTTATCAAATTGATTATGATGAGAGATAATTAGTATTCATAGGGCTACGCGTTTGTAATGAGTTTTATATACCAAATATAGGTGTAAAATGTTACCTATCTACAAAAATAATAGGTACCTAGAAGTGCGTTTTGTTCTCGCAATAAAACTACAATAATAATTTTACAGCGGTTTATTACTTTGTTCCATTCGAATTGAAAGATCAAAGTTCGGATTAAATAGTTTTTAAAATGTAGTACATTTGTTTTAAACATTAATACTACACGTGCCTTATATTATGTGTGTTTGTAATACCTATAGCTAAGATTTTTAGTGTAGATAAAGTTAACATTATATAATAATGTACAGACTGCAGCCGATGTACATTGGCACAATTAGGGCTGAGGAATACAAAAGGGTCTTTAGCACCCTCAAGTTCAAATGTATAGCATCACTTTTTTTTTGGGGGGGGGGATCTAAGTCTAACTATTTTTATTATAATAAAACACCATCAATTTTATGTTTTTAAATTATAAAATATTAAAAATATTAACCGAAAAAAAAATTTAAAAATTGTTGCTCATAATATGTATATTAAAATTAGTTATAAATTATTACACACTCTTGTAATTGTTATTAGACGATTAACATAAGGAAACAAATTACAGAAAAATGGATTGCTTACGATCAAATTTTTAGCCAATTGGTCACTCTAAAAATCATCATGTAGGTACGCTGTGGTGGACTGTGTCTGTGTATTATTATTTACTGGTAAACACTCACTAGTTTTATATTAATTATTGTCGTTTTATCGTACAATTTTTAATAAATTATTAATGTAAAGAACTAAAGAGGCATATAATATAATTATTATATAGGTACACATTTTGTTTTTAACATTAATATATAATGATAAATTGATAACACTATACGTACATTAAAATATATAATTAATATAGAAATTAGTATAAAAATGTATATAAAAAATTGGTATCGTTAAGTTGGCYACAACATCATAATATAGTCATCTGTGGAATTGTCAAGTCGTCCGCGACATGTATACGTAGTCAGCTGCAGCATAGCTGTATCGTATTTATATAAGTTGGCCGAAGCATCATTTATTTACTTGTGGAAAGCTAAAAATCAACTTTTAATTAACTATAGAGTTAATATTACATTTAAACCAGTTATTATTTATTTTATTTTATTATTATTTTAAGTTGATTTAAATTAAAACGTTTTCTCCTGATTTTGTTATTTTCGTTGTCAGGTGGTGTAAATAACTTTAACTTGGTGGTTTGTTAGTCATAACTGATAAAACATAGAACTACCAGCCAAKGGCCGAGTGGTGTGGAAAACATATTAATTTGTCAGCCCAATAAGCTGATTCGGTTAACAGACAGTTAACAGACATTAACTTGAAAAAAGTGTATACCTTGATCAAATAACTTATAAAATTAAAAAAAAACTGAAATATATGTTCATTTTAATATTTCATTTTACATATATGTAATATGTATATATATATATGTAAAAAGCATACATGCAAATATTGAAATCTCATACAGTATACTTTAATAATTATTTATTTTAATTACCCGTAAGGCTGTAACTTACAAGATTAATTAAGAAAATAATTTGGAATTTTCACTAAATAATCATATCATTATCTAAACCAGTGTTTCTCAACCTTTTTGATATCACGGAACACCAAATAATAATATTTTTTTCATGCGGAACCCCTTTGAAAATTATCTATAGAGTACCGGCTGCCTGCGGTTTCTCTATCTCTTGCGATTTTAAACTTTCAAGGAATCCTAGGGTTCTGCGGAACAAAGGTTAAGAAATACTGATCTAAACTATAAAGATTTTATTTTTCAATCGTCATCACAACATGAAAGATTTCAAGTGTTCGGTTGTCATTGAATATCTCAAACGGCGGCTTTTTAAATATTTTTATGTAAAAGAAAGTACGAGCAGGTACGACGAAGTGAAAATACCATACATGACAATAATTATTATCGACATTCCATACCTTGTAATATTTAATGTTTTATGTTAATTTATAAGCATAAAATGCATAATCCATAAGACCATAAATTATAAAATTGAATTGATACGATTACAACAAGCAGACTTCACTTTAATATTATAACAAGATTTATTTGTATAAATATTATATTTGAAATTTTTAATAATATTGATTTCTGATTAGGTATACTACTATACTTGGTAATCACAGGTTATTTAATGTATGCTTAAATGTATATAATTTTTGTCAACCCATGTACATCTCATCAATAAAGAACCAGCACCCAAATGTGATATTTGCAACGTAACTCTATCAATTGAACATATCGTAATCACCTGCCCCAAATACACTGAAGCACGCAAGATACTCCAAAATCCGGCATCACTCTCTATCAAGCCTTCAAAGACAAAAACACAGCTGCAATCAGTACATTTTTCCATAATATAAACACTAAATACCCATTGTAAATAATAACTATAATGATGTAGYAAAATGTATTCCAAAATTTAATGTACACATATATATATTTTCCTTTCTTTTTCTTGTATAAATTTTGATTAAAGTAGGCTAAAAACCTATGTTGTTGAAGCCTTAATAAACTTGAAAAAAAAAATTGTTGTCACCTGGCCAGGCGATATAGTTATTCGTCAACAATGGCCCATCTGCAGGAAAGTTCCAGATTTCTAAGGAGCAGCATTTTGAACGGAGTGCCCACGTTACAAGCTACAATTCTTGTGGGATGTGCGTACCTATCTGCGTGATGTGGAAAGAAAACCGTTTTACCGCACATGCTATAGCTTTTAAACGCACTGTTTACATATTATACACTCAATATGTCATAATGACGCGGAAACATTATATATTACAATAATATTCCAACAATAGTCATACCACCGGCAACAACACATCATAGTCATCATACGATACAGGACATGGGTACATATAATATTATTATATGTAGGTAACTGCCAAAGTGCCAACTGGTATAGTCTAATATACAGCAATTGACATATTGTACGAAAACCACACGGAATTAGTATATTTATGCATATTATGTAATGTACTAATGTAATATTATAATTAGGTATCAATTATTTTACGTATTCAACTCATGACATTCATTTTGTATGCAAGGATTTGGATTTTAATTAGCAGGGGCTAAATACGTTAAGTACCTATATGGTTCAGTGTCTCCCCCCACTGGTTGTGACAATGATAATATACCTATACTGTTGTACAGATCTAAGGTACCTAGGTATTGAGAACCTTTTCGTGTAAATGAGCAATTTTTAAAAAAAACTGCAAGATCATCATTTTCAAAAAGCTACTTAAATTAATAGATTTTGTGAGTGCAATAGGTGTATTTTACAAATATGAAACATTTTTCTCTATAATGRCCCCAATGTCATGTCGTATTATTTTCAAAAAAATTCTATTCATTATTTAAATCCGATAATAATGATTTTTTTTCTTATTCAATATAGGTACCTATAGAAAACTAGTGCAACACTCTTGTAGTGTTAGTGGAATTTCAGTGCTCATTATTTTGTCAAATCCAAATAGAATAAACCGTAGAGTATTAGGCGAGAAGCCACACGGGTAACAGCTATTATCCTTCATAATACATACAAAAAAACATGCTATATAAAAAACATGCTTTATTTTTGTTCCCATTTTGTGACGACGCTGCTATTTAACTTTTTGCCAATTTTTTTTCACCGAGTTGTTCTAAATACCTTCCCGAGTGTCATCACGTCATCCGAATTTTCATTTTTTTGTCTGAGGGGATTGTATTTTTATTAGTTGCGGCATAAAATCTGTCTTGAAAAGTACGGATTCTTGCCAATATTAATCCCGAAAAATTGTGTCCCAATTTATATATTCATTTAAACGATACTTCYCTATGAATTACCAATTACCATTCATTCATCAAAGTTATTCCTTGATAAATTCTATCCTGAAAAGTACGGGTTTCGGTCTCTCGGAAATTATTATCTTGATTTTTACGGGGATCCGTGAGCTTGTAGGGGGTAATCTCTGGACCTACAAAATCGATTTTAAAAACCATTTTATCAATAGAAAGCCATATTATTTGTGAGTGAAACAGTGGTTAGATGGTTAAAATGGAACAACTATGAGTATGAAATTTGATCAGTAAGTTCAATTTATGATGCAAAAAACCCCTAAGGATTTTCAAATTCAACCTCTACAGGAGTAAAAATATTTTAACCAAAAATACCATTATACCCCGACAATTTTCCAGATAGTTTAGAAATTTCCAATAAGTCTGTTTTGCAATGACAATAAACAAAGTCCAAGGTCAGACTTTAACTTATTGTGGTGTAAATTTGAAAAAAAAAACTGTTTCTCACATGGACGATTGTATGTGGCATTTTCTAGAGTCGAAACACCTGACCAGGCTGACCATTTATAYGTTTATGTACCACAAAACAAAACTCTGCATGTGGTACCTATACCGTTATACCAAGAGGTTTTGACTTAATCCATATTAGAATTGAGCAACTACGTACAGAATCATTTGTAAATATTCAGAAGTAAAGTTAAATTATGGAAATTATAATTATAATTATAGAATAATTTTTTAATAACAATATGTGTATAGAATCACTTGTAAATATTATTATTTTTGTTTTATTTATAATTCAGCTACTACTACCACAAAATGTATGAAATAATGACGAGTGTAATAAATACTGGGTACAAGTATTTAGCAATTGATAGCATATTATGTAAAATACATTTTTTTCTTCTTTGAAACACAACAATGTGTGTTGATTTAATAATTTCATTTTGAGAAAGCACGGTAATTCAGAGTACCTAACTCGAGTAATTCAGCAAGTTATATATAAAAGACAAATTGAAAACATTGACAATTAATATGGAATTGGAATCAAAATAACACTCGACCGATTTTTACAATTCGAGGAAATCGGTTTTAACAATACCTATATCTAGATCGAAACATTTGTTAAAGGGTGACTTACCCCATTACCCGCTATTAATAATATTCAAATATTACACCATATTCATTTATTTCTGTTAGAAATCGGTTCATATAAGCAAAAAGTTACTTATTAGCATAGGCGTAAATAGGGGGGGGGCTTAGGGGGTATTAGCACCCCCACCCCTCAATTTTAAAATTAGCACTTTCAAATAATGCACGTGCTTATTGTATCAAAAACTTCTTCTTTCAAAAAAAAAAAAACTAAAGTGACAAAATGCAAAGCATAAGCACCCTTAGTTTTTATTATTGAAATTGCGCCCATGCTTATTAGTTAATACTATAAATGTTTTTATAAGCAAAACGAATGTTTATATATTTATATCAGAATTCAGTTTGAATTACCTACTAAATGAGAAGTATACCTTATCCGGTAAAAATAGATTAATAATGTTTGATCCAATTACCTATCTGGATTTCATAACCAGCACTTCTTGTTAGTTATTAATTTATTACTACCCTCCAAAAGTGGATTGCATAATCGAATTTATTTTAGTCCGGGGCAATGATGTGTAATTCAGCAAGCGTATACATAAAAATGAATGTTTCTTGGTTGTCTTCTTTAGACTCAATAACTACCATTTTCAATAAAATTAAAAAAAAAAGATTCCTTGATACTAGGAAGGTATTTATAGCTTATTTTTTTAAATAATATGGATTGCTATTAGGTATTTAGGTCACTTGGAGTTTTGGACAATCAGTAGTTGCCAGCTAGTTCGGACATGAATCTAGTCTTAACTCATGAAAATTGATTTTATTATTTTTATGTTTAAACGGTTATCATTGATTATAGATTATATATATAAATATTATTACTATTGTAAATTTATTATTAGTAGAAGTATTTTGAATAACATTTTTTACAAATTAATATTACTATAAATACACAGTTGAAAAATTTTTTATCACAGAATAGATTAAATATAAAACAATACACAATATTGATTTGAATAGCAAAATTTAAATTGTAAATATGTAAAATTTTTGTATTAAGCTGTGTAGTTGATGCTTAATACAAAAAAAAAAAAAAAAAAAAAACAATACACATTATGTATCCTATTTACAAAAAAAAATCGAATTAATTAACTTAAACAACTGATTTTTAAATAAAAATACACTTCTATTTGCCTAATCCATGAAAAACAGAGTAGTAGGCTCGGCTCAAGAAAGTAGGCAACATAGGCACATTAGAATAGCAAATTAGTAGGGAGGGGCATTTTTAAAATGGTGATATCATTATTTTAGGGGCAACAAAATCAGATTTTGCCTAGTGCACTAGTTTTGCTTGAGCCGGTTCTACAGATTAGTTATTCCACATATTTTTTAAGATTAAAATAATTTCTGTCGCATAAGCATTCATATCAAACAGATAACTATGCATTTTAAGTTCCCTAATATTTTTTCTGATATTTTCTAAAATGAGTTTGTTTAACCCCAATTGTATTGCAATTTCAATATAATTCTCTTCATTATGAGCAATAGTATCAATAATTCCTAAAGTAGTTAGTTGCGAAAAAGTTACACGAGATGCATATGTATCTCCGGGTAATGTTATTACTGGAACTCCAGCCCATAATGCATCCAAGCAAGCTGTATGTCCATTGCACAAACGTGTATCCAAATATATATCAGCCAACTGGATTCTATTCATGTGTTGATATTTAGGAATAAATTCAGCAAAAATTATGCGTGATGTATCAAAATTTAAACCATCAGCAAATTTTCTTAAGTTGTTTTCAGCAACATCATTCAAATGTAGAAGCCATAATACAGAGTTAGGAACATTATCTAAAATAGTTAGCCACATACRTAAAGTATATGGGTCTATTTTATACAGTTTACTGAAATTGCAAAAAACAACCACGTTTTCTGGTAAGTTGAATGTTAGTCTAGAGGAAGATTTCACAGATGCTGCGAGTTCTTTTTCAATGTACTTGGTTTCAACTGATGATAATTCATTAACATTGTTTCCATTAAGATAAATCCCTTTATGCATAATATTATTTGTATCTGTGACTACTTTGGGTTGCTGTTGTATATAAGAAAACTTCTGTTTGTGATCGCCAACAAAAATAGTTTGATTTGTATACACCAATTTTTCAGTATATAAATTTTTAAATTCAGGCGGAGAACATATTTTATCTGTAATCAAGTAATCCATAAATGTCGCACCACTAGTACTAAGATAACCAAGCCAAGAAACTTGAATTGGAGCTGGTCTCAAAGCAAATATTTCAGTTTGGGCACCCTTTGTATAACCACTCATGTCAACCAATATATGRATTCCATCATTATTTATAACTTTAGCAGCATCAATTACCTTGAGTTGAGACAAATTTCTGTGGTGTTCAAAGAGATGAAACCTGAAATCAAAAAAACATAATTTTATTTAATTAATATATTAAATAATAATAATGGCTGACTGATTAAATGTTATTAAAAGAGTTGACAGAAAAATAATATAGATAATTTATTAATAAACAATGAGTGAATTTAAAAAAAAGTTATTGTTTTTGTCTTTAATAATCTAGAACTCAAACCTTTAGTTATTTTAGGAGGAAATGGTTAGTTTTAACACATGTAAATGTAGTAAGGATTTGTCACAAAGACAGGGATGACAAATAGGACTTTTTAAATGTGCCCATTTATGATATAATTTTTAAAAAAAATTAGCTGTGCCGTTACTTAAAAATCTATAAATATGCATGGATAAATTAAAGTTTTTCAAGTGCTATCAAAAATCTCTTGCTTGCCAAGCTTGGCAAACGTGTCACTTATTTGCCATCCCTGCACTATAAAATCGGGTGGTCACCCGTCCAGGAACTAGTGGTACTGATCGGTACTGGCACTTTGAAAACATATTTAGTGACTGAGCCAGACACTGCACTACCGAAGTTAGTTYATCTAAAGTTTAGTTATAAAGTATAGGCATTTTAAGCTGTTTGAATTTAGTTGTTTAGTTGTAATTTAATAATAATATTCATGGGTAGTACGTACCTACTTTATAATTTTAAAGTATACACTCATATGTTCTCAAWGGAAATTTTTTCGACAACAATTAATTCAGCCTATCAATGTTTAATAGTAAAATAAATAACTTTAATAGAAGAATCTTTTTTCATGTAGGTTCAATTATTGTATCATCTTATTGAATTCAAATTTAACAACATTCAAACCCACTCAAGGTCTACAGTACAGCTGAGCAGTACACACTTCCCACAATTTTACTTCTATTTATTAAAATAATTTAAATCAAATATTTACYAGGATGGAATATTATCATTTGACGATATAGAATAACAAATGACATCTATTTGGTAGTCATTTATACTTGATAAGGTTTCCATAATTGTTGTAATTGGATGTTTACCAAAGTTGGTTGATATAAAACCAATCCTGAGATTTCCATTGGAAGATATTAAAGATGTTGGATGACTGAATTGTTTAGGCTCTTTAATAGAATTTTTCAATTTTTCAACACAATGGTTTGCATATTTAGAAGCAATTTTAGTTTGTACTTCTAATGATAATGGAAACATCAACGAATCATGAGGCAATAAGGATAAGACTTCATCATCACTGAGTTGTTTATTAACTATTTCTTTTAACTTAATCAAGTGAGAATCATAGTTAGACCAGTCACAAATTTTTTGTAAACATTGTACTAAATTACAATATACGTCTTGAAGATCTGGTTTTAATTTTAATACAAATTCATAAGCACGGATTGCTTCAGTGAAATTCTCATTATCTTTTTCTATGGAACCTACATAAATGTAAGCTTCTAAACACTGTGGATCATGCTGAATTGCCATATAAAAACAATGTAATGCATCTTTACTCATGTTTAAATCTATATATATATTTCCCATATACATATAAACATTGACAGATGTATTGTCATATTCCAAAGCTTTCTCACAATGCATAAGAGCATCTTTAAAATTTCCATTTTCTTTGTACAAAATATTTGCTAAATTAAAATGTATATCAAAAGCATCTGATTCGTCAATTTGTAAAATTCTTTGATACATGTCGATAATATCATCAAGTTGACCCAATTTTTGTTTAAGATATGTTAAATTAATCAAAGCATTTAAATGGTCTGGTTGCAGTTGGATAGCCATTTTATAATATTCTATAGCTTTTTCGGAAAGACCATATTCTTCATAAATTATTGCACTATCACAGTAAGCATTGGCAAAGCTTGGTTTCAACTCAATAGCTTTTCTATACCTGTTGAAAAATGAATTATGAAATAATTAATTTTCAAAATGATTAGATGCATATTAAATGAATAATAATAAAAATTAAGTAAATCAAGTATTAAATTCAATAAATGACATATATAAACCGATTGCAATGGCAGAATGAAGCAGGGGATATACAGAATCAGCATGTTCTCTCACTAAACAGAGTATATGCTAATATTATGGGAAACAGAAATTTAAGACAAGGAAGAAAAGAAACTAGTGTACATGTTTTAGTTATTGTATCTAAAACTAAATTAAATTGTTGTAATTTAATAATAATCAGCATTTAAAAATTAGTAAAAATTAAATGAACATAATATGTTAACATATATACTGGATAAAGATAAGATGTATAATTTACATATAAAAAGTAACTAGAAAAGAAAATTACTAAAAAAAATTTTTATTACGTTTCTATGTCGTGGAACTCATACTGAAAATTAAATTGTTTAACTTAGATTACAAAGACACTAATTAATAACTAGTATCTATGTTACAAGACAAACGTTTAATGATTACTATATTAATTAATTATTACCTGATTAAAGCCAATTCAAAATGGCCTAGATTATACATAGTCAAGCCCACTTTCCAATGACCATATGCATTCCCAGGATTCAAAAGAATTGCGCAAATAAATGCGTTTCTCGCATTTTCTAGATCTTCGCTTTCCAGATATAAATCACCCAATGACATGCAAGTCTCAGATGCATTTAGATAATCATTAGACTTCTGGTATGCGGTAAAAAGATTCTTGTACAAGTCTTTATTTTCAGGATTTAGCTGAATACAYTTTTTAAAATATATTATAGCTTCTTGGTGATTTTTAAGGTTATATAAATATATCAAAGCCAAATTTAAATTAAAGTCATAGTTTTCAGGTTGAAGTTTCAAGCACTTTTGGAATACTTCAACAGACGATATCATATTTTCTTGATGACAGTACGTAACTGCTAAATTTTTTAAAACAAACACATTTTCTGATTCTAATTCTAGTGCTTTTAGAAATTTATCAACGGCTTTTTGTAATTTTTTGACTTTTAGATAAGCCATTCCCAAACTGATATGAGTATTCTTCAGATCAGAATTAATTTCTAAAGCTTTTTCATAGTTAGAAATAGCTTTTTCAAATTTACCATTCATATAATAAACATCTCCTAAATTATTTAAAGTTTCTGGACATTCTGTTGCACTGTTGAGGGCAATCTTAAATTGCTTTTTGGCATATTTTATTTTGTTTAATTTTAATAGCAGTTTTCCAAACACATTACGTACTTTATATAATTCGGGGTTTAGACTTAAAACTCGTTCATAAGCCAATTCAGCTGAATTTAGGTCATTTGTAATAAATAATAGATCGGCATAATTCGTCCATGTGTCAACACAAAAAGGTTTTAATTCACAAGYTTCAAATAAATATTGTTTTGCTAAATCATTTTCGGATTTTTTCCAATAAACTAATGCCAAGTTATTTATAACTTCAAAACAATCGGGATTAATATTTTTTGCTCTTTCTAAACTATCAATGCATTTTTCATAATTTTCACAGTTGAAAAATGATCTGGCATTAAGCAACATAACATTTAAATCAGTCGGATTATGTGTCAGTAATTCTTCACATATTAGTTGAGCTTTGATGAAATTTCCATTTTGATTTTCCAATTTTGCAGATTTTAAAAGATTATCTAAAAAACATAACATATACATTTTAGAATTTTGTGTATTAAGTTATTTCACTAATAAATAAATTCAAATAAATTTTAATCTATCATCAACGAAAAAATAAGATGAAACAGAAGTACCCCCAAGTTTTAATATTCCATGACTACTGTTATATATAATGCGAGAAATTCATTAAATTATGTAATATGTATTTTTTTAATTTTATGTTTTTATTTAAAAAATGATTCTAAAAGAGGCTTTTTTCAACTTGAACAAATTTTATACTAAAAACATGCTGGCTCCAATACTCCTATACGGTATATTTAAGTATACAGCAAATTAAAAATTGGTAGAAGACAAATATGTTAAGACAACGGATTATCAATTCATCCATTTTTATTATTGAGAGGGATGTAAAAACATAAAAATTAAGAACAGAATCAGTGTTAAATAATTATAGCTTAAAAATGAGGAAAATTGTTTTAAAATAATACACTATATTTTTATTAACCAATATTAAATGCAAGTTATTTGTATTTAATATATTGGTTGAAACTTCTAAAATACGTGTTACCAGTGCATATAATGTTGTAAAAAATTAAAAATTCACACTTCAAACTTTTTTTAGATTTATAGCTGAATAAATTATGTGATTATCCATTAAACTCTCTATTAAGTAGAAAAATGCAAAAATTACCTTGTATTTAATGAATTAAGAAATTTATATGTATTTTATAAATATTTAAGTAATTTTTGATTTTTTCATAAACTGTCCACAACAACATTGTAGCCATTATTAAATATACTATCTGTAAGTTTAGTAGAAAGTAAAAATAAATTTAATTTAATTTTTTATCTACAACTGGTSCATCTTTTTATTATAGGTAAAACAGGTAATCAACATTTTATATTGATTTATGACAAGTGTTAATTTGTGCTGACATTCTGATTTTTAAATTAAAAATCCAGTATTGAAGGAGTTTTGGGAACATTTACTGGCAAGATAATTCCAGACAAAAAAAATATATCAAAGTAATTTAGTAAGGAAACAAGCTTTAACATTGACTAGACAAAATATACAGGATGGTCCAATTTGGGTTAACATACTACATGTAAGCACACAATTTATATTGACTGGTATAAATAATAAGATCAAATTACACTTAAACTATTAATACAATTGGTAAAGAAAATATTTCTTAAAGCGCCRAGCTGAGTTTTAAAATTTAAAGAATTTTCTCGAGCATCAATTTGCTTTTAAAGCCTATTAAAACCAGACAGGGGAAGCAGTTAGAAGAAATTTTATATAAATGTGAACATTTAAAAAAATAAAACAAATAATTATTAGTAAATTATAATAACTCACCTAAGTGTTTGCTATAAATCTGAAAAAAAAAATCCAACTTTAAAAATATAATCTAAAATATATCAAATATTATTAAATTTTACCTCAATAGCTCCATAAAGAAGTGTTAGAGAATCGCCACACAATTTCATTGAGCTGGCTTTTCCAAGAGTTGCTCGCGCCAAATCCTTTACTTTTGTAAATCCTAAAAGTTCAAATTCATTGGAGATTTTTTCAAACCTTTAAAAACAAAAACAATTAATTATAAAATAAATTAGTAATAAGAAGTTGAATAAGTAGACATATATAATATAAAACGTGTGATAACACATAAGTTTAGTGTTAACTACCACATTTATGACACGGTTTTTAACATACTCATTCTAAAGTTAACAGTTCAACACATAATGTACAAATGTATAAAAACATAATGTATACATGTAAGTAATTATTTGCATGAATGGCAGGACCTAGTACTATGGGTCCTTCTGACCTCCTTCTCCTTGAGGGAGGCCTGTAGGTAGGTATTAGGTAAAACAAATAGTTAATAACCAATAACAGATCCAATAGTAAATAGGATAGCTAAGAAAAAAAGTAACACGTTAAAATATCCATGCAAAAATATTTCATGACAAAACATCCGGTATAACTGTTAATTCAAAATTTAAATCTTTTTATACAAGTTAGATAGATTAATACATTTATAAAATACAAACAAATTAATTAGTTTAGAAAAATATTAAAATAGTATGTTTCAGTATAAAATTATTATGTTTATTGTAATACCAAGTTATGTGTTATTGATTTTTTATACAAGTTAAATAGATATTAGATATTAACCAGGATATTAATATATTTACAGAATACAAAAAATAAAAATAAAACATTTTTAATTAATTTAAAAAAATATTAAAATTTTAGTGTTTTTGATGTATACTAAATAAATATCCTTCAATTATTAGTAAATTTTTGCCTTTTTGGCTTTGATAAATTTTAGCATATTTTAAATTAAATAGTTTAATTTAAGGTTGCCACACACTGCAGAGGTAGCGGTGACGGTGAGGGTTACGGCAAAATGAAGCGGGACACAATTTTACCGCCACCGCCAAGACAAAAAGAATTTTACCGCCACCACTGCAGTGTGTGGTGACCTTTAAGACTCACAACACACACTGTAGGCACTAGGCAATGACATAAAATGACACATTTTAATACCATTATCAAAATAACGAATAACACATTCACTTCAGATAAAATGCGATTATTACTTATAATCGCAACAGTTTTTATATTATATTTTGTTGTAGAATATGTTTGCGAGAGTATTTTGTCGTGGAATAAAAAAAATAAAGACAAAAGAAAGAAGGTATTACCCTTAACTTTTCTCCTAATGGATACAAGACAATATACAAATTACACTCTTAAAAATCATTTTTAAACAAATATAATACATCTAAAMTTTTCACTTCTTTCAAAAATCAAAATACTGTTAATAAATAGCTTTAGGCGGTAGATCTACATAAAATCAACAGAAATTGAGAATTCATATTCCACATCCAATTTAAATTAAATTAATAAGCCCTGATATAAATATTATTCATGCATTATACTTTTAATTTATACAAGAATTTAGATTTAAAAAAATAAATAAATAAAAACTATACTCTATTAAAAAAAAAAAAGAAACGCCTTAGGTGGCAGACTTGTGCGCAGAATGAGGCAGTACTACACAGCAGACATCAGGAATATAGATTGGTGGCAAATGGGTGTTACCTGACACCTGACTGCCGCAAACGAGTCGCTGCCATAAGCGATTCTTAGTATGAACAGAGTATAGACACAGTAATATTAAAATTTAATTACTACTATAAATTATTTACTTTATAGGGTCATTTTCAGATAAGATCTCTGTAATAACTGATATTGGTGCTTCACAGTCAGAATGTTTTGAACAAAATATATCCTGTAAGTATTAGAATTATTAATTTATGTAATATTCATAATTAATAAAATTAGTTTTACTAATACTGATAATTTACCAGTTAATAAAAAATCTTAAAATTAAGTTAACATTATCTTAATAAAAATGTTAAGATAATGCTTTATAAAAGAGGCAACTATTTTACAACCATTTCCATTTATAGGACCCACCCAACACATACATTTGTTAAATGTTCAACAGTTAACATTTAACTTTAATTAATTTGATGTTATACACATGCAATTCTAAGACAATAAATGAGGGTGTAGTATACTCTGAATTGTAAACATATTGCAATTACAAACATACCATGAAAATTGTAGTTCCTTATTTATATGTACGATTTAACAGATTTCTTAATAAAGGTAGTCATGCCAGTTTCTGAAAATTTGATTAATTTTTACATATCAAAATAGGATTTTTGAAGAACAAAAAATATAAAAGGTGAGTTATTAAAATGTCAAGCAATAAAGACTTATTAGGTTCATATAATTCATTAATTAGAGTTTTTAAAAATATTAAATTGAAAAACAGAATTTTTCTATAATTTYATAGTTAGTATGAATGTGTCACAAACACTCCTATATACAAGGTGTCCGCGAGGATTTGCCCATTGCAATATCTCACAAAATAATGGAAAAACCAAAATTCTGATTTTGCAATAGACTTACAGGGATAAGAACTACAATTATTTAATTTTTAAATTTATTTTAATATTTTGGTAAAAAATTAAAAATGTATTATTACATGTAATATGTTATGTACTTTTTTTCCAAAAAAATTGACTATAGCTGTTTTGTAGTTTATTTTTCTAAAAAAATATTGACGTTTCAAATTTTATTTTCATTTATTTCCTGATTTTTAATATTTTTTTTAGTTTTGAAGAAATAAAATAAGATTATAACTAGGCACACTGAAAGTGTTTGGCCAGCTGTACGAGAGTCGAGAATGCGTGCAGCGCGGTGGGTCACATGTTTAGTACATTATGGTATTAAATATATATTATATATATAATATAATATATTTTTCTTGAAACTAAAAATTAGAAAATTAATGAAAAAAAAAATTTTGAAACATCAATACTGTCAAAAAATAAACTATAGCCATTTGCTATAGTCAATTTTTTGGAAAATAATTAAATAAAAAATATATTTTATTAAATATTAAAATATGGAATAATTATAGTTCTTGTCTCTGTGATTCTTATTACAAAACCAGAATTTGGATATCTCCATTATTTCAAGGTATATTACAATGGTTAAATCCTCGCGAAACACCTTGTACATAATTGAATTATTAATATATTACTTACAAAAGGTAACGAATTCATAATTTAAAATATTGTGCACTTATTAGTTTTCAAATAAGGACCACTTATAATGATCCACACTCACTTATGAACAAACTGTTGACAATAATCTGCAAAAACAAGATACATATTGTAATAAATGCATTAGACTATTGCTGCGTTCCCACGAGGCGTTAATCATGACAGTCAACCACGATAGTCAACTTTTGTTCATGACACTCACAAAAATGTGAATTGATCAAATGTTAATAATTTGATAATGGAATAATGTTAATAATTCCACGTTGCTGTGACGACATCTTTGCTTCACGAACGGTATATCACGACTGAAAATCAAACAYGTTGATCTATCCACGCTTGAGTCGTGCGCCGTTCCTCACAAAAGAAAGTTAAACGACTATGCGTTCACACAGAAGTGTATTTCACGAAAGCGTGATTCACTGTCGTGATTAACGCCTCGTGGGAACGCAGCATATTAGAGTGAATAATATAATATATATTATTTGATATTATTGATTATACTAATATTCTAATATCTAATAGTTTTGAAAAGATAAGTAGGCACTAGGCATAGAATAAATGTATAATAAACAATAAATGTTAAATTTAGTTAAAATATGTAAACAAAATTGTTGTCATTAGCTTTAAACTATTAAAATATAAAAAGAACTGATAAAAAATTTGCGTTTCCTAGGATCTAGTTCAACCTAGCTGGTGGAGGGAAGTATACAAGATACATGGAATACATAGCATGTAAAATATTCATATATATAAAATGTGCATATACAAAGCCACTATATGCATTCCAAATTGATATTTAATATTAACAATATGATCAATTTCCATACATCACATAAAATTCTATTATGTTCTCCCATAATTTGAAATGCATATGGTGACTTCCTACCAGGATTATATTTTGATTAATACACGCATTCCACGTATTTAGTTCAGTAGTGACAGGCTTTAGCCAGTAATCCCAACCATCCATATTTTATTATAACAGGCAACTGAAATATAATATATCAAAATATACTAAATAACATTAACCACCAATTACAATAAAAATTATTTTACTTGTCATTTATTTACATAAAAACAAATGGTTACATAAAATTATATTATTTGAACATTTCTAACTAATTAGGTAATTAATCATAAATTTAAATAATGATAAAAAATAAGACTTTGACCACAGACTGAAATATTATACTTGAAGCCCCGAACAAAAGTCTATTAATATATTCATTTTTAACTGGCTTTTATTCCATCAGACTTTTTTTGGTATTCATGTCGTATGCGGTCTACCACACATTTGACGTCTGCCTACCATGCATGCGGTTTACCGGATAGTTAAAAATATGAATGAATACATAAATGTAGAATTTCAATATAATATTTAATAATACAATAAAATGTAGATAAATTGAATTAGTATATATATTAAAAACTAACTGACAAAAATGTAAAATTATATAGAAATATGCATTAATCAATTTAAATTAGGTAGGTACAATATAATTTCACATCTCTTAAAAAACAATCAAATATGTTGTCATTCTTATGTTTTAGACGCCATCATTGTTCCGCCAAATACGAAGGCCGCAATGATGGAGATGTACCATGCATTGTTTTAATAATTCAAAGTTTTAAACCAAAATAATGACCAAAATCATATATATATAGGCGGCAGTAGACAGCATCAACATGAATACCCTTTTTTTTTGTCAGACAAGTAGAATACCATTAAACTTATTATCTTTTTAAGTACTTTAGAGCACATTATAAGTTACCATAGGAAAAAACCATTAAATTATATTCATGAGTTACCTACCTAATCATTAAATTATATTAATGTGTTGAGTTTTTGTGCATGAGGGATTTTGTTTAGAAAAAAACAAACAAATTCAAAGATGATGATTATTACTGGGGAGTTTAGAATAGCCTGGAATAGCTGGAACAGCGAACAGTTTTAAGATAACTTTATAAGTTTGTTGTTTATAACTAAAATTTAAAAAACATATTAAGTGGCTGCTAAATCACATCTTAATATTGTAAATATTTGTACTTTTCAAGATGCTCAAAACTAGCTCTAAAATTAAATATAAAAAAATAAAGGTTTATAAGGTACCTAGATAAAATTATTATTTCTAAATGTGTTAATAGTCAATTCACTTTAATATAGAACATACTAGAGTTGGATTATTCAAAATGCATAATTTGGTATGTAAGGTGTTTATAAGCCGATATACGCATGCTTATACACATGAAAGTGTAACATCATTTCAATTAAATGAAACTAGGTACTTATAATGATAATATAGACTTTTATACTTACAAAAGATATATCTATTACCTACAAAGAATAATTATAGTAATATCCGACTGGGACAATAGAAGACACAGTCACACGGCACACTAATATACGGTAAACAACAACGGAGAAATCTAAATAGTAGCAGACACGGATTTAAAACTCAAGGCACACGGAACACAATTTAAGTACCAGAATTCCAGACATAAAACAAAGTTTGGTAAGTCCACAATAAACTATACAAACAAGATAGAATAAACTAATACAACTTTAAAGTCCAGTGAACTGTTTAGTAAAATAGCAGTGTTGAAATAATTTATAAACAAAATTGAAAATTCTGAAAATTGACAAAAAATATTAGATTTAGATATTATGGTCACATGGAAAATTCAAATCATTGGAAATGAAATATTATTGATTAAAATATTTAAAATGGCGGTATAGCCGGTATAGGTATCCGTACGCCCGTATAATATCGTATAGACTATAGATATAGACTATACCTGGAGCATAGGGGCCATAGGACATAAATATTAAATATATCATTGTTTAATGTGCCGCCGCAGCGCTGCCGCCCGCCACATTTCTTGTTCGCCGAAAAAGCCGTTTCTTTGTTATCTATATTGTGCTTGACGGTGCTGCCACTAACTTCTATCGTGCAGCCAGTGATGGTAGATGACAGGGAAATTCCCTGTGCGCAGGGAAATTTTACGTCATAATGTATAAAAAAGAAAAAATGGGAATTTGAAGCTTATTTCATTAAAATACAGGGAATTTTACTCAATTTGAAATATTAAAAAAAAAAAATTATAGAAATTATAAAAATTATAGAAATATATTGTATAGTATTATATTATATAAAAAATAAAATACGTAAACTAAAATAAGAAAATATTGGTTAACGATGAACCGACGCCGGGACTTTTGGTCCAAATTCCAAAAGTATGGTATAAACCTTAAGTCTCCCAAGGGCCAAGGTACAATCCACCGTGGATTGTCTGTCCATGGTTGTAAATATTATACAGTCTGGTTGCACTATAATAATTGTTCTATGTTGCACAACACACTCTCAAACTACACACAATTTCCACTGACTGAACGATCGGGTATACTCGTAATAAAAAACAAAATAAAAATAAATAGTTTAACACAAACTGGCACGGCGTTACAAACAATATATGTCTATACATTATATATTTATGCTATCCATAGGGTAATATTTGCAATGTATTATGTATATGCGAGTACGGAAAAGTCGTATGTATATATAGCAATATAGCTATATATATCGCAGAAACCTACCGTAAATATATATATCAACAAAACGTTAAACTTTACTGAACAGTCGTCGACCATTATAATTAATATATACACTATAATGTCTATATAGGTGGGGTACTTCAACTATATATTTTAATACAAAATAATAATATCTGTTCGTATTTCAGGCGACAAGAACGGATCTAGAATTTGAAACAGTGCGCAAACAACACTTGACGGTTCTCGCCGAAGCTGACCGGACGTGGCGGGACTGCGGAGAGGCGGAATTGCGGACGGTGGCCAAGCGACTGACGTCCGAGCTGGAGGTGGAGCGACGATGGGTTGCGAACCGGTCACGCGCAGCGTCGAAGGGCTGTGCGAGGACAACATCCGGTTGCAGGCCGACCTGAAAGCCAACATGGCGGTAGAGGCCAAGCTTCGCGCCAGGATTGTCCAATTTGGGACGGCGATACAGCACACTTGCTATTGGATCTTCGGACAGTCCTTATAGACGTACGCTGAAAAAAAATTTCGTAAATTCAACCAAAATACGACACTTACAACCAACATTTTTAGTTGCGCTCGTGACGACAATTCGCGCGTTTGGTACAAGACGTAGTTGCATACTGATTTTTGTAAACAGTATATTGTATTGTCGACATTGTTTCTGTTGCGATAGTAATAATAGGTTAGCTMATTCTCACCTAAGAAATTATTGTTATAGACATGATGCTTTGTAGCAGCTATTAAATTATTTTGTATCCACAATACTTAGTCTGGTAACATTCAACTGTTTGAATAGTACTAATACATGTATTTAAATCGTTTATATTCTGTATTTAAATCATTAAACGGATGTTCTACAGCTTTTAAAATTGAGTTAAAATGATCAAAACATTCATTTGAAATTTCACTATCCGAAAGTTATTTAGATACACTAATTCTTAAGAGGACGCCACACCCGCATGTGTYGTCTCCGTCTTACAAACGCATAACATAGCAAAATCTGTTTAGCGCGGGACAATTGTTCTCCCTCAATATTTATAATAGAATTTTCAAAATWTCACAACGYATAGGTAAGAACTTTATCTGTGTCATAGCGTCGTTATTTTTTTTGATAACAATAAATATAATTAAAGTTATAAGCTTAAGAAAATACATTTATTTTTTATTATGTCATTAAATTACTTAAAAGTTAAAATTATTGGTTTGTGCTATCAATACGCATGACCTACGCTATGACCGCAGCTGCCAATGCTATTTAGATAGACGATAGCTAACCTGTATATCTTAAACCGTGGTATAGGTCTATAGTAGATAACCGTTGTCACAAAATGATCTTATCCAGTTGTAGTTATCCATGCGGCATGCGGTTAAATAATAGATAATGATAAACATTTAATTTTGACGAATATTGTGTTTTTAAAATTTTAATACGTAATATTAAATTTCTCACTCTGATTATACTGCCAAAAATGCCCACAAATCTGTATAGAGTCCAAGGGCCAGAAGGGACCATACCTTATCAGCATTACTTAATCGATAGAAACAATCATAAACTTGAAGAAATTGCCACTGGTTTAATGAAGGATGTGCGATGTGATGGCAGAAATATGTCTGACCATAGAAATTTGTGTAAGATTTAAATATTTAATATGTTATATTGAATGTGTAGCTTAATTCAATTTTTTTTTTATTATTAAGGTATCAAAACTGGTATTGTTACACAAGCCAAAGGATCAGCTTATTTAGAATGTGGTAGTACAAAATTAGTTTGTTCTGTATTTGATCCTAAAGAAGTTCCAAATAAAGTAGAATATGCTAAGACTGGAGAACTTCAGTGTGAATTTAAATTTGCTACATTTTCTTGTAGACAAAGGCGTACTTATACGCGAGATTCTGAAGAACGACAATTGTGTAATGAACTACGCAGAGCTTTAGAACCTGCTATTTGTAGAGTGAGTATGTTAACATATTAACATGTTGACTGCCATGCAGCCGCTGGCKGTCACACAATATACCATTATCTTATACCAAGTATATTTTTCAGTATCATTCCAAATTTGTATATTATAATTTTTTAAACAATTTTAAAATACAATAAAAAATTTAAAAAACATATTTATTACATCAAAAAATTTGTAATGATTCCTGCTA